TCTTATGTTGGTCTTCATATTACATAGGTTCACTGATATTGTAGATGTAGTCCAGGCTATATACAACCATCCTAATCCAGAGGTTAAGAAGAACATCAAGATAGGTGCTGTGACGTGCTGTGTTGATCCAGATAACATGTTCATGGAGGAAAGGTAATTATAATCAAGTAAGATATCTGATGTACGAGTAGTTGTAGAAGTGCAGTTAGAGTGAACTTACTAATTTGTGCAAATTCTTACTAAGTTTTTCATGGATATATATGGTATGCACTGTAGTGAGCATGCAGTAGATGCAGTAACTATTAGTATAAGACATACGTTATTTATTCTCATCATCATCATCATCAACCATTCAGCAGCAGCATCGTCAGTTATCATAATTATCATCACCACCATCATAGTCATCATCCACCATGACCATAATCATTTATCATTATCATTTACCCTCATCATCATTACATTAGTTTCATGAGTGTCATACAGATCATTGTTGTCAAACAGCGCACAACTCACGGCCCTTTGATTTTCAACTTCCATCGTAATTAATAATTTCCACTGTCCTCTTACTGGTCATTTGAGAGAGTGGATCTTATGCAAATAACCAGAAGGTGTAGCAAAACGTACAGTATATCCGTTTAGTAGGGTGAACACCAATCAGCAACAGGCATCTTTAATAATTACTACAGATTACATTAAAATGAGTATTTTTTATTTAGATACACCCTTCCAAAACTATTAGACCAATGTGCACAAGGTATGTTAATACAGCCATGAATTTGTTTGCATTTACAACATAAAATACAATCATATACAATCTGGAAAGATCTCTTTATGCTGACATYTTGATTATTGTTGTCAGGTTGGGTTGATAATATCGTGTTTACAAGTTGCCTTGACCCACAGGTAAGTATTTWAGRTACACADTGTATAGCTCCAGATARTGCCCATGCTTTCACACAGAGCCTGMTCTTAAAATTACAAGATTCTGAACCACTGCTATTAGCCATTCTGAAGTTGAGGGAAAATTGGGTCGAGTTGGCATTGCAGTGCATTGTGGGACTGTTGTAGGGGACATATTTCCAACATCGCACAATGCACTGCAACTCGAAGCAATTTTTTTTCCTCAACCTCCAAATTGGTAACCCCAAATAGCTAATAGCAATGGGTGAATGCGCCTGCAGGTTTTGGTGTGAAAAGTCCCCTCTAAGTCTAAGTGTGACGTCAAATGCACCCCCCTTAATCAATTCTCCCCAAGACGTTATCGTTAATGTCTGGGATCACCCATATTCCATATAACTCAAAACTTATAGACTGCAGCTGTTTTCCCCCTCACCGGCTAATATCATGTCTTCTCTTTCAGAATGACAAGCTTACCATGGTCCAGAAATTAGTCAGGACTTGTAACCCTGAAGCAGCATTTATTCTAGCTAAAGGTGGAGAGGTTACACGGTAAGAATCAGCATAAACCACTTTTTTTTCTCATTTATTTCATATAACATGTTCATTATAATGCTAGCTTGTGATATCCTATGATGAAGATCTGTTTGCACTACTTCCATATAGATACTTATATTGCAACGATAGTAACAAAATATTTATCRTAACAATAGATCTTCAGATGTAGACCTCATCCTGTCAGACAGTGCCTTCCTAAAGAAGAGTGCAGTGCAGAAGAGACACTTGATGTGCCCTGGATGGTTAGTGGAAGATAAAGGAATTATGCATTTACATAAAATTTTAATCAGATTAGGGAGGGCAGTACAACGAATAAAATTCCGAAAAAAGGGGGCCAGTTGTCTAAACTGCAAGCTACTCAAAAAAATTTCCTTGTAAGATTTTTCTGCACGTACTGTGATTTTTTCAGCTCGCGGGTTGCTTCTGTCAGGTTGAATATGCTGACATATACTCTTCCACAGTGCGCAATCATTCATTGAGGACTACTTGCCTATATTGTATCGACTTTTTATGGAATGACTGTTAATATTAAAGACAGTCTTTTCTTTTTGTAGGTCACTGGGTATATTTAATTCTGGTTCTACAGAACCTCTTGTCAATGAGGCGAGTGCATAATATCTCACTTTTCACAAACTGTACTCTATATATGTTTCTCGGATTTTGATTTCTCTATAAAACTGACTGTCCCTAGATTCATCCCATAAATAAAATAAATGTACTYATATAAAGAACCTTTACTCATCTGTGTACAGTGTTTTGTAATCGTTTCTTCTCTCTCTTGCAWTCAGGTCTACATCAACCTATTTGGACCACTTGACAAACATCAGTTTGTATCCAACCTAAGAGGTATCTTCTATCTTGGGTATTTTCCTCGTTTGTAAATGAATTTGACTATTGAGCAACCATCCAAATGAGACTATGAGAAACTGATTTTTCTATTGTGCAATTGTAGCTCTACAAGGACCAATCCATCTAAAGGAGTGCTTAACAAAAGGTATGTGTTTCGTTAAGGAAATAAGACTAAAGGTTTTGCATCCCTAAGACTTCGCCCAGCGACAACTCCCAATTGATGGTTTTCACGGCAACCATGTTGGAGAAACTTAACAAAAGAATTGTCAATGAATTCTTTTGTTATATCCTCCAACATGGCCACCGTGTCTTTTGTTATTTAATTCTCTTGGGAATGGTCGAAAACCATCAATAGATGGATACATTACTCATGCTCTAGTGGGACGTTGTCAGAGCCCTGAGTCATATAGTTAAGACACACAGTGAATAGTTCAGTCAGTGGTAAAAGTGACTAAGGGATGGGCTTCTTACGCATGCACACAAAACATTCCGTATATTTATTCAAGAAAAGACAACAGCTTAAAATCCTTGGACAGTCAGGTCATCCCCCTCGTCCCCTCCTCCACACGCCCCCACCCCTTCCCCCTCAAATTTCCCAATTTGGGCCGCTACGCAGGCTAAGTTATCCTGATTCTGTTTTTTATTCCCATCAGGAGCCATTCACAGTATCAGAGGACATGTACATTTTACAGGTTGGTGTTGTAGTGATACTGGGGTCCAGAAGATATTTCATTCAGTCTCCATCGCTCGCATTCTTCACAGTCTTTATACAATATTTGATCAAGAAGTGCTTCTTCAATGTTGGCAGGGCAATAGATTTCCTCTCTCTAGCCTTGTGGAAGTTCTTCAGAATGAGTTTGCGCGGGATTTTTATTCTCGTGGGAATAAATAGTTAGTGGCACAACAGTTTCTTTTCCCCTTTTTTCACACCCCATCCATTCAACACTCTGCTCAGTGGACCGGATAAGCCGTGGTTTTTATCCGTGTAGAACTGTAAAATCAAAGATTTGGGATGTTCAATATCAAATATTGAGAAGAGGATAAGGAAATAAAGAAATGGCAAAGGGAAAGAAAAGGGAAAGAAAAGGGAAAGGGAAAAGAAATGGGAAAAGAAAAGGGCATGGGGAAAGAAACTGGGAAAGAAATGGGAAAGGGAAAAGAAATGGGAAAAGAAATGGGAAAAGAAATGGGAAAAGAAATGGGAAAATTGATAAGGGGATATTGATCATCGTATCGATGATTTCTGCTTCAGATCATAATACCGTGAGTGAGGTTCACTGGACAGCACTAAAAGGCAGTTTAACAATGAATACAGTAGATATGACTATYATGCCTAGACCACCTCCAAAGGGTGCTCAGAATGGTGATGTAGATCACCACACCTTGTCATATTTTATGATCTTCACGGGATTCTTTTTGAAAGAAGATGCGCTGAAGGACTGGYTGAGAACGTGTGTCAAACAGGTATGGAAAATTAAACCTAATCAAAATGAGACTGGGCTTTTGAGATTGGGACATTGGGAACCCTGTGGATCGAGCAGGAGTGAGCGCAGGAAGACTGTACGACCCAAATGAAAATCTTATCAGGTTTTCCAACTATAACCAAAGAATCCCAAATAGGGGTACCTGTGAAGGAGGCTATATATTTGTGTAACGACCCTTGCGCAAAAGCATCGCCCAACATCACTCTGTCGTTGGCTCAGATGGCTGACTATATCAGCTGTTATCATACTRAACTTGAAAACGCAAGAAAAGGTCTCCGTTTATACTGTCAATAATCACGAGAGTTAGGGATTTACTATATCATGATAGCCAGATAATCTGCATCAAATCGATCTTTATCAGCAGTGTTTTTGAGCCTTTTTTTCAATGTGTTAGAAACCCCAAAAGAAGAAACTAAAGACCTTGAAAGACTTGACGAAAAAGGAACTTGATCAGATCAATGTAAGTCGTAGTGCACTTAGTCATTGATAAAAGACTT